GAGTCTCCCTCTGTCGCTCAGGCTGGAGTGCAATGGTGCAATCTCAGCTCACTGCAACCTTCACCTCCAGGGTTCAAGCAATTTTTCTGCCTCAGCCTCCTAAGTAGCTGGGATTACAGGCACCTGCCATCATGCCTGGCTAACTGTTGTATGTTTTTACAGACAAGGTTTCACTATGCTGGCTAGGCTGGTCTTGAACTCCCAACCTCAGGTGATCCGCCCGCCTCAGCCTCCCAAAGTGCTGGGATTACAGGCATGAGCCACCGCACCTGTGAAGTCAGGAGATTGAGACCGTCCTGGCTAACATGGTGAAATTCTATCTCTACTAAAAAAGATACAAAACAATAGCTGGTGTGGTGGCACACGCCTGTAGTCCCAGCTACTCTGGAGGCTGAGGCAGGAGAATCGCTTGAACCTGGAAGGCAAAGTTTGCAGTGAGCCGAGATAGCGCCACTACACTCCAGTCTGGGCAACAGAGCAAGACTCCATCTCAAAAAAATAATAGTGGCCCATGCCTGTAATCCCTGTAATGGCACTTTGGGAAGCCAAGGCGGGCAAATCACGAGGTCAAGAGATTGAGACCATCCTGGCCAACATGGTGACACCCCATCTCTACTAAAATACAAATATTAGCTGGGCGTGGTGGTGTGAGCCTGTAGTACCAGCTACTCGGGAGGCTGAGGTGGAAGAATCACTGCAACTGGGAGGCGGAGGTTGCAGTGAGCTGAGATCGTGCCACTGCACTCCAGCCTGATGTCAGAGCGAGACTCCATCTCAAAAAATAAAATAAATAAAAGATAAATAAAAATAAAGGCAATTGGTGACAACTGTAACTGAAGGTGAGTTATTGAGAATACCTGGGACAGGGCTAAAGAAGGAGTGCTGTTTTAGGCTGGGTGATGAGAGACCACTTCCCTGAAGAAGTGACATCTGAGGTGAGACCTGAATAGAGGAACCAGCCATGTGACTGTCATTTCAAGCAGAGACAACGGCAGCGCAAAGGCCCTGGGGCGGCAGTGCAGTTGGGGGAGGGCTGGAGGGAAGTGTGAAGCTGAAGTGAAGTGACACAAGGGGACAGTGTGAGAAGATGTGACCTGAGAGGTGGACAGAGCCTTCCGGGATTTTTATTCTAAATTTGGTGGGAGCCTTTGTTTTGTTTGTTTTTGTTATTATTATTTTAGAGACAGGTCTCACTATGTCGCCCAGTCTGTTCTTGAACTCCCAGGCTCAACAAGCCTCCGGCCTCCACCTCCAGGGTAGCTAGGATTACGAGCAAGCCACTGTGTATGACTTGATGGGAAGCTTTGAGAGAAAGGAGGTGGCTGGGCCGAGGGCAGTGGCTCACACCTGTAATCCCAGCACTTTGGGAGGCCAAGATGGGTGGATCACGAGGTCAGGAGTTCAAGGCCAAGATGATGAAACCCCATCTCTACTAAAAATACAAAAATTAGTAGGGAATTGGATGAATCTGGAAACCATCATTCTCAGCAAACTGACACAAGAACGGAAAGCCAAACACCGTATGTTTTCACTCATAGGCGGGTGTTGAACAAGGAGAACACATGACTCAGGGAGAGGAGCATCACACACTGGAGGCAGTTGTCGGGGGTAGGGGAGAGACAGCGGGGGGTAGGGAGGGAGGAGAGGGTGGGAAGGGATAACATGGGGAGAAATGCCAGATATAGTATGCACCTAAAGTTAAATAAATAAATGAAAAAAAAAAAAGCTGGTTTTTTTTTTTTTTGAGACAGAGTCTCACTCTGTCATCAAGTGCCAGGCTGGAGTACAGTGGCACAATCTCAGCTCACTGCAACCCCTGCCTCCCGGGTTCAGGCAATTCTCCTGCCTCAGCCTCCTGAGTAACAGGGACTACAGGCGCACGCCACCACGCCCAGCTAATTTTTGTATTTTTAGTAGAGATGGGGTTTCACCACGTTGGTCAGGATGGTCTCAATCTCTTGACCTCATGATCCGCCCACCTCGGCCTCCCAAAGTGCTGGGATTACAGACTTGAGCCACTGCGCCTGGCCGAAAGTTTATATTAAAAAAAAAAAAAATACAAAAATTAGCCAGGCATGGTGGTGCACACCTGTAATCCCAGGTATCTGGGAGCCTGAGGCAGGAGAATCACTTGAACCCTGGGGGGAAGAGGTGGCAGTGAGCCAAGACGGTGACACTGCACTGCACTCCAGCCCAGGTGACAGGGTGAGACTCTGTCTCAAAAAAAAAAAAAAAAGAGAGAGAGAGAGAGGAGGTGGCTGGAACAAGGATGGAGAGAAGTGGATGAATCCAAAATCTGTCTGGAGGCAGAGTCAAGAGGGTTTGCTGATGAACTGCAGGCTGACTCCTGGGGTATTCTTTGGTATGCAGAACTGAATGGCTGAAATTGACACATACAGTGAGGAGGAGTTGGGTTGGAAGTGTTCAGTCTGACATGTCTATTAGACCGGAGACTGCTGGATGTGAGTCCAAAGCCTAAGGGAGCAGTCAGAGTTAAAGGTAAATTTGGGAGACATCGGCATAAAGATATACATAATTTTTTTTTTTTTTTTTTTTAGAAGTGGAGTCTCGCTGTGTTGCCCAGGTTGGTCTCAAACTCTTGGCCTCAAGTGATCCTCCTGCCATAGCCTTCCAAAGCACTGGGATTACAGGCATGAGCCACGGCACCCAGCCTAGATTTTTGTTTGTTTGTTTTTGAGACTGAGTCTACTCTGTTGCTCAGGCTGGAGTACAGTGGCACCACCATGGCTCGCTGCAACATCCACCTGGCAGGTTCGGGGGATTCTCCTGCCTCATCCTCCTAAGTAGCAGGCCCATGCCATCACATCTGACTATTTGTGTGTGTGTGTGTGTGTGCATTTTTAGTAGAGAAGGGGTTCCACCGTGTTGGCCAGGCTGGTCTTGAACTCCTGACCTCAAATGATCCACCTGCTTCAGCCTCCTAAAGTGATGGTAATTTGAACACAGCAGTTGATGAGAACTTAACAAAGACACAGTTTATAAAGGTGTAGGGAAACCATCAAGGCACAGTACAAACACCCTGAGGTTAGCAACACCAGACAGCTGTTGCCACCTCTTGGCCCTGGAGAGGGCTGTGTAGAGTTGCTGCCTGTAGAAGAGGACGTCACCAGTGGGGCTTGGAGGGAGGGGACACGGGGTAAACTTTTTTTTTTGAGACAGAGTTTTGCTCTGTTGCCCAGGTTGGAGTGCAATGGCGTGATCTCCGCTCACTACAACCTCCATCTCCCAGGTTCAAGCAATTCTCCTGCCTCAGCCTCCCAAGTATCTAGAATTACAGGTGCCCGACACCACGCCCAGCTAATCATTAGTGTTTTTAGTAGAGACAGATTTTCACTATGTTGGCCAAGCTGGTCTTGAATTCCTGACCTCAGGTGATCCACCCACCTCAGCCTCCCAAAGTGCTGGGATTACAGGCATGAGCCACCCCCCCAGCCCTATATTTATTTATTTTTTTGAGACAGGGTCTCACTCTGTCACCCAGGCAAGAGTTCAGTGGCACGATCTTGGCTCACTGTAACCTCTGCCTCCCAGGTTCAAGCGATTCTCCCACCTTCGCCTCCTGAGTAGCTGCAATTACAGGCACCCGCCACCACGCCCGGCTAATTTTTTTAGTATTTTTAGTAGAGACGGGGGTTTCGCCATGCGGGCCAAGCTGGTCTGGAACTCCTGACCTCAGGGTGATCTGACCGTCTTGGCCTCCCGAAGTACTGGCATCATGGGCATGAGCCACCGCGTCCTGCCGGTAACTATATCTTTCCTTCTGGTCACCCCAGAATGGTGGGGTTGGGGGCAGGAGAAGGGAAGAGTCTGCTTCCATTAGAGGGAAAGTGGAAAATGTCCCTAGGGGAGGGCGGCCGGCGCAAGGGCATCGATCCTGTCCTCGAACCGCACGATCCGGCCTCAGCTGATCTCTTCCCTTATCCTGGACGTCTCCTGCCCCCTGTCTGGGCCTCCCGAGGCGCCTGGGCCCAAGGTGACCGCCTTTCAACCGCAACCGCTAAGCTTGGCCCGGGGCGCGCTGTGTCCGTCTCTCCCTCCTCCCTGAATCCGGGAGTGCACTTGGCAGCAGACACTTCGCGGACTTTTCCGGGAGGAGTAGGGAAGCCGCCTCTCAGCTTGGCGGGGGGCAGTGGCGCGCGGCTGGGAAACTCTCTGAGCCCTAGCACTGTGAGGGAGACCCTGGCGCGCCGTAAGGCGGCTCCTGGCGCCCTCTCGGGCCGGAGCTGTGCGCCGCAAGGCTGGATCGGAGGGAGGGCCCGGCCCTTAGGGCGTCGCTGCGCGCTGGCTGGCACAGACTGGGCGGGGCTGCCCGGGTTCCGGAAAGACGACTTCGGGGGGACACCTCACAAACGGGCTGGTGGTTCAGAACCCCAGTCCGACGCGCTGCTGGGGCTCAGTCTCCTGGACGAAGACGAGAACATGGCTCTGAAAAAGTGCCAGGGTGCGCTGAGGAGGAGAACACAGCACCCAGAGCGGCCCCCCAGGTAGCGGGGCCGGGTCTAGGCAAGCCCTCTTCCAAGAAGTCCTGTGCCCTGAAGCTGACTGGGCACGCTAGTTGATGAAACCGGGTGCCCCACCAAGGCGCCCTAGTCCCGAGGGCGGCGCCAGGGCGGGGCCGGAGTCCTCCTGGCAGGTGCCGGGGGCGGTGCCCGGCCCTGCCCCCGGGGGCCGTTCCTGGAGGCCAGAGGCGGGTCAGAGAAGCGGCCGGTGCGGGCGACGCCTTGGAACCCACGGGCTGCGACTGCGACCACAGGTGCCTCACAGGGCCCTGTGTCCTAACTCTGGGCGTCAAAACCCCAGGTGGGAACTGACGCTTCCGAGCTGCTTCCAACCCTGGACACCGAGGTCCCCCAGCTGGAGAGCGAAACCCTAGGGTCTTCTGAAGAGGGGGGCCACGAGCCCCCAGGGCCAGACAGCGAAGCCCCAGAGCCTGTTGCAGAGCTGAACACTGAAGTCCCAGGCCGGGCGGCGAGGTCCCCAAGCCCTCCGCAAAGGACGTGGAGACCCTCGAGCAAGAAAGCGAAGTCCTCGAGCCATCAGTCGAGCAGGACTCAGGGCGCCCGGGGTTGTCAGCAGCGGTTGGCTTTGAGAGTCCTGAGCCAGGCAGAGACGACCCTGGGCCGTCCGAAGCGCAAAGCGCGGGGATCCAGGGGCAGCGTCCCGCTCCGGGCCTGAGACTTCCTCCTCCAGGTCAGGCTCGGAAGCCTCCGACTTGCGTTTCCGCCGTGCCCTGAGGCTCCCCAACGTCCCCCGGAGGAGCTGTTCATGGAGACGCCAATAGAGCGCGAAATCCGCCGCAGCTGCGAACGCGAGGAGAGCCTGCGCCGGAGCCGGGGCCTGAGCTCTGGCCGCTGCGGGCAGCGAACTCATGGAGCTGCGCGTGCGGCCAGTGCTCAACCTGCCGGGTCCTGGCCCCGCGCTCCCGCGCGCCCTGGAGCGCGCGCGGGCGGGAGCGCAGATGCAGCGGGACATCGAGCGGGAGGCCCACCGGCAGGCGGCGCTAGCGCGCCCCGCGGCCGCGGAGCCGCACGCCCAGTCGCCGCCGCAGCCGCTGGGCGAACTCAAGCGCTTCTTCGAGGCCGCCGCGGGGAGTGGCTCCTCCGCCGGGGCGGGGGGCGGCGCGGGCCCGCAGGGGCTGCCAGAGCCGGGGGGCCGGGCGCGCTCGGCCGTGCAGGGCCAGTGCCCGGTGCTGGCCCGCGCCCCGCCGCCTTTCGCTCCGTCACTGCTGGAGCAGGAGGTGCGCGCAGTGCGCGAGCGCGAGCAGGAGCTGCAGCGCCTGCGGCGCAGTGTCTATGGCACCGCGGAGTTCAAGGAGCCTACGCCGAGTCTCACCGGTAAGCCGCGGGCGCGGCAACGCCAGGGACCCCCAGGGTTCCAGCCGCCCCCACCGACTGCCCAGCTTAGGTGGCCCCTCCTCTGGCCCTCCGATTCTCGGGGCCTCTTCCTCCAAGCTCCCAGGCTCCTCCGACCCCTTCTCAACTTTGTCTCTTGCCCACCCCTTCTGGGGCTGCATTACTCGCTGTGATCCACCCCTCCACCGGGAGGGATGAACTCTCTGATCCACATCACCCAGGCTGCGCGGGGATGGGTGGGGGCATTCCAGATGTGTTCCTCTTTGTCGGGTTCCAGGGAACCCTGACTGGGTTCTGGCACTCCTGGGTCCTCCCTCTGCATTTTTAGGCTCCTGCCTCTCCATTCTGGGTTCACCTCCCTCCTCCCTCGGGTCACTGGGTCCCTGGAGCTGAGTGGAGGCTTTTACGGGGAGGCGGAGGGTGAACGCCTGTGTGTGTTTAAGGGGTGCGGCCGGCCTTTTTCATCCTGGCTGCCTCCAGCTGGTGAGATGAGCGCACCTTCCCCCCTAGCGAGCAGGGGCGACGGAAAGTTGGCGGTGACCTGGCCCCCCCGCAGAAAGGCCTCGGAGAACGGCCTGGAGCAGGTGGGAGCCCCTTTACCCGTGTGCCTTTAGAGCTTATCGTTCCCCTACCCCTCCGCTGCCAGGACGCTGGGTGGGAAAAGGCGCATCCCCCCTGGAGGGCCATTCTGGTCCGAACTCAATGTGGGACGCATCCGGGGTGAAGAGGAGACGTGGTCTTGGGGCCCAAACCGCCCCACCCTGAGCCTGGGTTCGGTGCGCAGGTCCCTGAGGCCGGCTTTCCTTCTGGCCCTCTGCCCCCAGGAGGAGCGCAAACCTTGAGGTTTGAGCAGACAGGGACCCAGGCCAGAAGTAACGTACACGTCAGAGGACCAGGGCGGGGAGCGTCTAGCAGAAGGCCTGGAGAAGGGTCGGCCCTCTGCATTGGGGAAGATGAAATCGACCAGCCCATCGTTGAACTTGACTTTGTGAAATTGACCAGCCCCGTCTATAAAACTTAGAGTCCCCCATTGGGAAACTGACCACCACCCACAACTCCGCCAGTGAAACTGTCCAGCCCTTCTCCCGCCTAATCGTAAACTGAACTACCCACTCCCTTGACTGTAAGAGGGCCAGGGTTACGGCCGCGGCTGCCCCACTCCCCGCACCGCCAATAAAGCCTCTTCTTTCAGGGCACTGCAGCCAGTTTTGTTCTGGGTCCTCTTCGTCTGGAGTGGGGCGGGAGCACGGCGGGACGAGAGAAGCCCGAGAAAGCCCCAAGAGGTGCGGGCCGGAATGTGGGAATGCGCCCTTATCGCCCTGTTCTGGGGCTGCCCGCCTCCCATGCACTGCCAGACCCGGCCTGGCCCAGGTCCTACCGCCCCCTGGCGGCCGGGGTGCAAGATGTGGCCCTCGGACCGAGTTCACGCCCTGTTTCTAGGATTCCTCTTCATTTATTGGTGCACTGGCTAGACAGAGATGGTAAGAGACTGTTCCTACCTTGGGAACGTAAACAATAGCTACCGAGGTCGGGCGCGGTGGCTCAGGCCTGTAATCCCAGCACTTTGGGATGCCAAGGCGGGTGGATCACCTGAGGTCAGCAGTTCGAGACCAGCCTGGCCAACATGGTGAAACCCCGTCTCTACTTAAAAAAAAAAAAAAAAAATTAGCCGGGCGTGGTATCGGGCGCCTGTAATCCCAGCTACTCGGGAGGCTGAGGCAGGAGAATCGCTTGAACCCGGGAGGCGGAGGTTGCAGTAAGCCGAGATTGTGCCATTGCCCTCCCGCTGGGTGACAAGAGCCAAACTCCGTCTCAAAAAACAAAACAAAAAATACACACATACACACACAAAGAGGTGGTAAGAGTTCAGGCTTCTCAACATCATTAGTTCCTAATGATCAACATTCTTGACCTCATGGGTCCTCACTATGAATGAGCACACCTCATTCATAGTGTTGGGTCAAGAGTTTCTGCTTTCCAGAAGCACCCATGTCTGCGTGTAGGCAAGCATCAAAAATAAATAAATAAATAAAAAGCATCCATGGCCTGGCGCGGTGGTGCACGCCTCTAATTCCAGCACTTTGGGAGGCCGAGGTGGGTGGATCACTTGAGGTCAGGAGTTCCAGACCAGCCTGGCCAACATGGTGAAACCAGTCTATTTTAAAAATACAAAAAAAATATAGCTGGTGTGGTGGCGCATGTGTGTAATCCTGCTACTCAGGAGGCTGAGGCAGGGGAATCACTTGAACCTGGGAGGCAGAGGTTGCAGTGAGCCAAGAACACACCACTGCACTCCAGCCTGGGTGACAGAGTGAGACACTCTCTCTTAAAAAACAAACAAGGCAACTGAAACCTAGCTTTTGAAAAGAGAGATCTGAATTTTTATGACCGTGACTATTTAGAAAAAAAAATTTTGAGTCTTGCTCTGTCACCCAGGCTGGAGTGCAGAGGTGTGATCTCCACTCACTGCAACCTCCACTTCCTGGGCTCAAGCAATTCTCCTGCCCCTGAGTAGCTGGGATTACAAGTGCACACCATCGCACCCAGCTCATTTTTTGTATTTTTTATAATCCCTACACTTTGGGAGGCCCAGGCAGGTGGATCACCCAAGGCTGGGAGTTCAAGACCAGCCTGACCAATATAGAGAAACCCTATCTCCACTAAAAATACAAAATTAGCTGGGCATGGTGGTACATGCCTGTAATCCCACCTACTCTGAGGCAGGAGAATCACTTGAACCCAGGAGGCAGAGGTGGCAGTGAGCCAAGACTGTGCCATTGCACCACAGCCTGGGCAATAAGAGCAAAACTCAATCTCAAAAAAAAAGTTTTCAATTTTGGAGACAGGGTCTTGCTGTCATGCAGTCTGCAGTGCAGTGGCATGATCACAGTTCACTGTAACCTTGATCTCCTTGGCTCAAGTGACCGACCTGTCTCAGCCTCCTGAGTAGCTGGCGCTACAGGAATGAACCACCACACTCAACCCAGGAATGTTTCAGAATTGCTGCTTAAACTCTTGGCTCTTGAGATCATGTCACTGCACTCCAGCTTGGGCGACAGAGCGAGACTCTGTCTTTTTTTTTTTTTGAGACGGAGTTTCGCCCTTGTTACCCAGGCTGGAGTGCAATGGTGCGATCTCGGCTCACCGCAACCTCCGCCTCCTGGGTTCAGGCAATTCTCCTGCCTCAGCCTCCTGAGTAGCTGGAAATACAGGCACACACCACCATGCCCAGCTAATTTTTTGTATTTTTAGTAGAGACGGGGTTTCACTATGTTGACCAGGATGGTCTCGATCTCTTGACCTCATGATCCACCCACTTCGGCCTCCCAAAGTGCTGGGATTACAGGCTTGAGCCACCGCGCCCGGCTGAGACTCTGTCTTAAACAAAACACCAGCCTGGCCAACATGGTGAAACCCCGTCTCTACTAAAAATACAAAACAATTAGCTGGGCGTGGTGGCGGGAGCCACCAGCTACTTGGGAGGATGAGGCAGGAGAATCTTTTTAACCCAGGAAACGGAGGTTGCAGTGAGCCGAGATTGAGCCATTGTACTGCAGCCTGGGCGACAGGGTGAGACTCTGTCTCAAAAAACAAATTCTTAGGCCAGGCATGGTGGCTCATGCCTATAATCCTAGCACTTTGGGAGGCCGAGACAGGTGGATCACGAGGTCAAGAGATCGAGACCATCCTGGTCAACATGGTGAAACCCCATCTCTACTAAAAGTACAAAAATTAGCTGGGCATGGTGGTGCATGCCTGTAGTCCCAGCTTCTCGGGAGGCTGAGGCAGGAGAATTGCTTGAACTCAGGAGACGGAGGTTGCAGTGAGCCGAGATCGTGCCATTGCACTCCAGCCTGGGTAACGAGAACGAAACTCAGTCTCAAAAAAAAAAAAAAAAAATTCTTGGTTCTGTCTAACTCTGTCTCTTGTATAGATACATCAAATATCTAGTGAAATCCATAGGCATAAAATACAGAGAGGTCACGCCGATACAGGGCTGCACCCAAGAGCAGGTCAGCCAAGAAGGGCTCATCACCTGACCCCATCCATCAATGACACAGTTACCCGCTCCTCAGCATACTTCACCGTGACTGTGGAAGATATGTAGAGAAAGGCGGGAGAGAGCCCGAGAAGTGGAAAATGGAAACACCTGGAGGCTGGGCTTCATTTCCAGCAGGGGAGCCAAGAACTAAGTCTATCAAGAGTGGACAGGGGCAGGGCATGGTGGCTCAAGCCTGTAATCCCAGCACTTTGGGAGGCCAAGGCAGGTGGATCATCTGAGGTCAGG